ATGTCCTTCTGAACATTTTACTGATGCAAATAGGATCAATCTAGTTCTGTATGGTGTTATCCAGTGAGACCTTTATATGTTTGTGTATGCGTTTGTTTGGGAATATTGTGCGCCCATAACCAATTTGTTGAATGCACGTAGATTTGCAAGTCTCTCCCCATTTTCTTTCCTCTCTCCCAGTCCATGTCGTCCCATGATATCTTCATATCCAGTGTTGTGTATTCCAACTTTGGAGTTTAGATCTCCCATCAGGACAGTCAGGTCGTTTCGTGGCTTTCATCATGAGGCGTCATAATTCTTGCTTGTACTTGGAGGGCAGATTTTAAATGATTTAAATTGTTTATTCTGGTTAGCTTTTTCTTATCGAGGTTATTATCTACGGGATGAAGTTGTTGACTCCTTGCCCAAACCTTATCCTCAGTGTGGGCTTGGGACCGGCAGTAACCCTAGAAGGATTACAGGCGAAGTCAATAGCATTTCATAGAGAAATCTAAGTATAACTACTTCAACCATGGAATAAAGTTTCAGAGAAATCTTTTCGTGAGGTGATTCCCGATGTTCTAGTGAGATTTGGTGATCAGTGAAGTCAAACCATGTCCAATGTTATACAGTTTTACACCAGTGACCTTTGAACACAGTTGGGCAATATCGTGATCTAATTAAAGATAAACACTTATTGCAATGTAAAATCTGTATCTTAAAAAAGAAACATTACAACTACTCTACAGGAAGTCGTACTTTTTACTGTTGACCCAACTGACAGGCGCGTTGTAATTTTTCTTATGAATTGTTTCTTTTTTTCAACAAGAAAAACACAACAATCCAAGTTTCATTGCAATTATGTAAGTAATACATACTTGTATGTCCGTATGTGTGTATATTAACATATTTAACTAATTTCGTAATAGATCTGATGTGTTAAATCTATTGAACTTCATCATTCAGATTTTAACTAGTGAAACAAATGTAAGTTTAAAATAAACACATTCAGAAACATCTACACACGTTAAATGAAATGGTTGAAAAGTACTTGACTAAAACAAAACTAAAACTGAACATTGGTAAATTTATAGATTCAAATTTCAAGTTGGGATGTAAAAATTACTATCTGTTTCGTAACCATGTAAACTAAGAGGCTTTACAATCTTCACAAAGTTTTATTTTGAGAACTCCATCTTGAATTGAGCAAACTTAGAGTTTAAATGATTTTCTTATGTATTTAAAACAATCCCACATCTATTCATACATAACTTTATTTCCGAACTTTATCATGGCAAACTTTTCAGTGTACAGATATGCATTTACTGTTCTGTATCCAATTAATAACAAAAATTGCTTATTATGTAATGTGGTTTTGATTATACTATGGCTCTGTACGTTCTAACTCTAATCTACTAGTTTTAATTGATCTAAAAGTCAGAGAGGTATCTATAACAAGCACAAATTTACTATTAAAAGCATATTCACATTGACACTTGTCTAACTGAACTGTCATTTCGGAATTCTTTTTAAATGAAATCAATAAATGAAAATATTACTTTATGAGTAAGTTATTTGATAAATCGAAAACCAAACTGTATAACTGAGATACTAATGAGTTGTATTGTGCATAAGTTTATGAAAAAACAAGTCGGTGTATAACATCGATGTTAGATTACAAAACATAAGAACACAATGATTCTCACAATTTATTTGGTTGTTCTTGAGAAACTATAAGCACAAAACGATGAGGATCAGTTCAGACTAGAGATAATAATGAATTGGTCAATTGATTTATTCACATTCTAAGATTTTACATGATAGAATGAAAAGATATGACTTGTCATTATCACTTGCATTGTTTTGTCTTTCCTAACCCGCTAGTATACAGCTGATATTGAAAGTGAATAAGTAGAATATGTTGTTGAAGTACATATTATATTTAAGTTTTTGTAGACATTTGGAAGAATTGTTCTTTATTATTAACATTCATTAGGTTTCATACAATTTTAGCAGTTGAATTTATGAGCCAATATAAGCTAAATTACCATTGAAAACCTGGAAGTATTGTACAGCCGTTTCGTCCTAGTATGGGACTTCTCAGCAGTGCGCATCCATGATCATGCACGCGTGACTCGGACCTAGAACCTTCAGTCTCGCAAGCAAACACTTAAACTCTATATTCTAAAATGAATAGAGATACGAATTTCCTCACCCAAGTTATTAGCCTAATCAGACGGAGATCCACATGACAGGTCAGGTTTTAACTTGATAAAACATGTATTATCTCATACCTCTAAAAAATTATCGATTGTCTTGTGAAATGAAGTTATCGCTAATACACGGTAGTGTGGACTTGAGTTAAGACAAAAAGCAGCTATTGCACGTGGCAGTTTTTGTTTCTGTAAAAACTCACTACTCTACGGAATTTGATAATCAATTATTAATCAACAATATGATAATCACATTGTCCTCATGGGAAAAACGATACACTATGATGGGTGATTGATTTTTCTTTCAGTCATAGCGACATAAGGAATAATATGTGGAGCTAACAATTTAAAATAAATAGCACAAAATGTTTGTGATTTATATGATTGATGAAGTTTTTCTACGAAGTATAGACTAGCGCACTCGGTTTTCAGTCAATCTTAAGTGATACCACCCGGTCGTCTAGACTAAAGTGGATGGAGGGAGACTGAAACTTGTAATCTAATGGTTGAAAGTTGACCCCATTAACCAGTACGCCATTACTCCAATATATAACTTTAACTACAATCCCAGTAAAAACTAGCAGCTACTCACAGGAATTTATTTGTGAATTAATGATGACTAGTTATTCGGCATGTGATTCTGTGATGCAAACTACTGAGAAACCGAAGAATTTATTATGATTTTATGCACGATTATTTCTTCTCAGTGAGAAGTTCACTTTTCTTTTCAATAAATTTCGCTCGCTTTGATTTCTTATACCAATGAAAAAGAAACTGATTGACAGTAGTAATTTTTGCTAGTAGCATTTTATCGATTATTGGTCTAAGTACGGAGAAAAACATGCTCGTACATTTGATCATAATATATAATGATTTAGATTCACTAAACAGATGACAATAAAATATGTTCTATTAAATTTCATCCTGATATGAAAAATAATGGATGTAAAAATATCATCATTATTACAAGAGTTACAATTCTTTTATTCATCATCTATTGTACACAGAACACTAAAAATGATGATAAATAGTAATGTCTATTGTAAGATGGAATAATAATGATAATAATAGTAATGAGAATCAATAATAACACAGATTCCAAGTAAATTGACAGAGAAGATAGATTAGAGGAACAAAACAATATCACTTCTTTGTGAATAAACAAAAATAAGCAGGAAGAAGAATAAGACAAAACTCTATCCGAGACAACGTAGTAGTTTGTTCCAAGATTCCTCATAATCAACAAAAAAGTGACCACGTTATCACCATCCTTACTGTGTGTGAATGACTGAAATATCGACTATACAGATATATCCATTACTCTGAGAGATTTGGTTGAATAATTAACCGACAATTAGATAGTAGTCAAAATGATTTCTATGATTTTACCATTCAAGCTTTTGTTCTTTTAGAATAAATAAATCATCATCAACACAACTAAAACCGGTTGTATACTTCAGTAAAAAACCATTGATGCGCACAGATTTCAAATCTGATTTTGTATGTAAATCTCTGTTTCTCAGCATTATTTATAGAACATATTAACAACATAGTAAAAACTGATTTGGTACATGTACATCAATGATTTCCCATGTTGTGGTGATTAGTGGTCTACAAAGAACTTGAAAAGAGCAGAGAATGAAATAGAAGTTAAGGGAGAGAGAGAGAAAAAAGTCGTTTCGTTTGACTGGTGTGATTACTAACTCGAAGAAAACAATGGAACTACCAAAAAGTGTAAAGATAATTTAGTTTGTTCACTTCAATGGTAAAAGTTGTAGAAGTATTATTATTTATTATATTAGTAGACAAAAATATATACTTTTTGGTTTAAATGAATGATAATAATCTCTTTGTAGAAATAGTAAACTAGTAGTTAATTACAAACAATAGATGGACTGAATATCAGATAAACATACAAACAGACATTAGTCAACTTAGTATTGAAATAACTAAGTCTGAATTAAAATTACAGTACAATAATGCAGTTCATTAAAGCAAAAAAGCTGAACAGTAAACGAAACAGATTAGAATTGAGCAGAACAAAACAGACTAGATAGAAACAGAAAAACATCTACAAGAACGAAATGAATATAAAGAAAGCAGTGACGTGAGAGTAACAACCTAGAAAAGAAGAAAGAAAAAGATGAAACAAGGCACATTTTTATATGGCAGAATAAAAACTATAACTTGAACAAATATGGAACGTTATATGTTATTGTCCAAGGAATGCAATTTAGAAGAAACGTGGGAATGTGGTATACACTGAAATGGTTACAAATTAACAATCATTAGTACTCTAAAAGACAATTCAGAACACACATAATAAACAGAGTTGAATGGGACAATAATCAACAACAAAATGTAAAGAGCCTTCATCAGTTCAATTACACTATACATATTGAAGAACAATATTTCTTCCATTTTAAAGAAGCACCCAATCCAGAAAAAAAGAATATACAAATATTCGTGTAAACAGAGAGAATAAATGAAGCAGAAAAAGAAAAGAGACAAAAGAAACAAATACAAATGAGCCATAAAGACTGGACAACAAAAATGTTATGAAACACAATACAACAGAATGATAATTATATAGTAAGGAGTTCATAGAAAGACAAAAGGTAATTTTTTAAGTGATATACATAATAACCAAACCTTTTTAAAACTAGATTGATAGTTTTAATTATAAGAAAAGATCTTTCAAAAAATAGGCAAAAGAAAAGAAACAAAACAGTGACAAATATGAGAGATAGGTACAAAGATGTAAAGATACGAAACACTAGTTATATATATATATATATATATATATATATATATATATATATATATATATATGACGAGGGGAACGGAGGTGGAAATAGGTAATTTAATGTGTAATCAATAAAGAATTAATTCATTATGTTGAAGATTTATTCTTTATTCCAGTTAAATCGGACAGTATGCTACTTCTAGATGATAAGGCAGTTTGATGACGTTGAATTTTTTGTTGTTGATATAATTGACGATCTAATATTCGGTCGTTATTTGTCCAACCATCAAATGCCTTATAAGTATAATTTATAAAAGCTAAATTTTTCTGATAGGTTTTCATAGGATCTGTAACATTAGCTAAATAAATTTAGAGAATAAATAAATGAGTTTAAAAGCGAAAAGTAAAATGAAGATTATTAACTTTAATTGATAATAAATACTTCAATATAATAATAGTAATAATAATGATAATAAGCAGAAATCTGCTTGTAATGCTTGTGGATTAAGGTAATGTCGATGCAATTCGTACAGCATGAACATATGCCAATAAGAGACTGACTGATTGAAGTCCTAAACATCAATGAGAAAACCTAAACAATCAATCTAAAAATGAATTGAAACTTCACTCAGTAGCTAAGTGGATAACGTGATAGTGTTTGAAGCGAAAAATACTAGGTTTAAGTCCCAGAGTGAACATCAACTCTGTGATGTAGGTACATCCATCTAACGAGTCCCAAATAAGACGAAACGTGCTTTCTGGATTCTACTGCTAGCCACCATCTATCTCTGCCTACAATGCTTGTGACTTAAGGCGATATCGAGGCAATCTACACAGAATGTACATACGCTAATAAGGGATTGATCAAATGCAGTCTTAAACATCAATGGAATGATTCAAACAACCAACACAACAATGAATTCATAACCATATTAACTTATTAGATATTATTAATTAGACTAATTAAATCAAAAAAGTCTATTTATGAACACGAACAATATATAGTTTAGAAATGGAAGATAGAAGCATTCGCATAATTATTTATATCAAGTTAGTAAGTGGAACAAGTTTAAATCTAATCAAGTGACTGTACGATGAGATGAAATTAGTAAGATGTAAGGTATACATAACGGTAATGATAATGATGCTGAATAAGACTAAAAACGTTGAGAATAAACACGATAAATAATGAAGTAAATCCAGAGAAAAATTAATCTACAATCATATAAGTGTACATTTCTATACTGAATATTATTTTCGTTGTGGAATTGGAATATCAACCCTAAACTTGTACAAATGAATAAATCTTGTAGAAATATTGAACAAATTTACATTTTACTAACTTTTAACTAATAGTATGGGGATTCGTGGAAATTGTAGAAATTTCATAGTTGAAACCACGAGACGATGTAAGCTAGACTACCATTGAAAACCTGAAAGCACTAGATAGTCGTCTTGTCCTAGTATGCGACTCCTTAGCAATGTGTATCTACGATCCCGCATGCGAGACTCAAACCTAGGACCTTTGGTCTCGTGTGCGAACCTTTAACTTCTAAAACACTGAATCGTCATTCAACGATGTTAATGTATAACTTTGATCAATCCATGACACTAAATAACCCTAATAAATTATTAATTTATCCTATCTATGTATGGAATAACTAGTAAATTGTATAATACCCACAGGACTATTGAACAAAGTTGGTTCAAATTCACCATCATAGAAACTATATTTTGAGCACATTAAAAATTTAAATTGTAAAAGAAAAAGTAAAAATTTAGATGACTAAGTAACGTATATCTTAAGCATAACAATAATAATAATAATAAACTAGGAATTCCCTTCTCTTTAATATACAAACAAAAGAGGATAATCGCTATTTTTATAACATCGATCACAGGAAACTAATCGATATTATATATATATATATATATATATATATATATATATATATATATATATATATATATATATATATATATATATATATATAAACTTGATATTTAGATGAGTCATACATTGTTATTTGAAGTTTTATAAGTATATACATTTTAGAAAACAGGACACCATTCATTCAAACAGAATACATCGAGATTTTCTAGTTATGATTATGAGTCGATTGATGTTAGACCGCCATTGATAACCTAGAAACACTGGACGGTCGTTTCGTTCTAATATGAGACTCCTAAGCAGTGCATATACACGATCCCACTCGAGGGCTTCGAACCCACGATCTTTGGTTTCGTGTGCGAATGCTTAACCTTTAAATCGGTAAGCCGGTATCTAATGTTGTTTGTGTCTAGCTTCAACCAACCCACGAAACTGCGAGATCGTGGATGCGCACTGTTGACGAGCCCCATACTAGGACGAGATGGCCGTCCAGTGCTTCCAGGTTTTCAATGGTGGTCTAACACCAATCGATTCATGATCTCAATCAAAAACTTAACTTTCCAGAACCTCATGTTGATACATCGAGATTGTTAAAAAACCACACTCAAAGGCAAATTATAGAATAATGCATAGAAAATAAATCAGCCAGGATCAACATCTAACATTAAGGAAAGAGGAAAATATATATATTTTTGTGTGTAAGATTAATAATTTTAAACTTTGGTCTAATTTGATAGAACGACAGCTACTTGAACCAATTATACAATACTCGACACTAAACTTTATTGCAAGTTAAATATATTTAAATGTAACGTTAGACTATAATATTTTGTACACAGAATAACAAAATTAGTTTGTTATAGCGTGTAAACACCTACAGAAAAGCAAGTTTTGTTACAGTAGAATAAACAATCCAACACAGTTTCTTTATTTGGAGTGCATTTTGTACACTTTTTATTATGTTCTAGGAACAACAACACCATTACAAGTACATTAAAAACATATACACACGCTTCAGTTGATCATGTGGTTTTTATGGACAGAAAAGGTAAAAAAAATTTGAGCCACGTGATGATGCATTAAATCCGTACAGCCATAATTTTAATTGTTTTCTTTATGTTATGCGCATAGATTTTTAGTGTTCAATAGCTTACAGTAAACTATGCGCATTTAAAATCATTTAACGAGAGACCATAAACCTATTTTGACCCTATTAAGTGGTTGAAGTTTCTCAAGATCACATCAACATTGCTCAATGAGTTGTCCATAGTATTGCCAACTGTTTAATTAGTAGTTAAAACAATCAGGAAATTTACCATAATATTCAACAAAAGAGTAAAAGAGGATGAAATATTCACACACTACCACTGAACTATCATGATAACTAAATTTTGTAAAATATCTGTTCAAAAAAAGTTGATGAATACCGCTAGTATCTTCTGATCATTGAATACAGATGAAAACATTTAATATTTCTGAACATCAAGAGATTATTAGGTGTAATACTGATAGTAAGAAAATTATACAGAAATAACTGCATCTGAGATTTAGGCAATTCGATCACTTTGTTATCAATGAGTACTTTGAAATGGCTCTTTTTATTGGTGTGTTAGAATTTAACAAAACAACAAGAAAAAATACACACGCGACTTACGCCAACTTAAATCAGCATTGGGGAATTCATCAAAATTACTAGTATCATCAATTGAACGTATATTCACTGGAATCGCTGCAGGTCGTTCACGTATATGCTCCCAGTCAACTGCATGAAAAAATGGTTGTTTTCGTATATCTTCAATACTTGATAAACGTGTTTCTGCCCCACAACATAAAGATTGTATTAAGTTTCTTGAATGATTACTAATGGGCATTTCAGGTGGAAAAAATAATGCCTCTTTCCAACTCATAATTTTCTTATACGTTTCTTGTGGTGTAGCTGAACAAAACGGTGGGTAGCCTGTGAATGATAAGATGAAAATGTCAAAGAAAAAGAATAAAATGACTTAATTGCTGTTGATTGTCTCCATAAAAACTATCACAGCATAAATATAAAGTATATGGAATTGACAAAAACAAACTATTTCTAAAAAATTAAAAACAGTACTAAGTAATCAGTCAGTCGTATTGTTTATGAAACTCAGGTCACAAAATCATACTTCATTTCATTTCTAAAAAAAAGTAGATTTACTCTACATTATTACCACTATAACATCGTTTACTCAACAATTTTTCAAAGACTAGAATCGGAAGTAATATCAATTTTTAAGTGATAATTTCATATAGTTAATTCTCATTTTTGTAAAGTTGTATACAAGAAAATATTATGGCGACAGTTGATGCAGGACAAAATAGAATTTGTTTTCATTTTATTGGTCCGTATCACCGTATACAACCATATTCGTAATGTATAACATAATATGGGATAGGTAATCAACTGCCCCAATATATATATATATATATATATATATATATATATATATATATATATATATATATATATATATATATATATATATATATATATATATGCGAATAGGAATTTGTAAGGTCTACTCAAACGGGATTGGAGCAGTTGATTACCTAGAAGCCGAAAATCAATACGATGGGTAACGCAATAATCGCAGAAATTTTGAGGAATTTACATACATTGTAAAAATCCGATTGCTCAAAATGACAGATGAGTGAATAGATAATTTTAAAGAGAATAAAATAACAATTAATTGAGATCATGAACCGAATTAAGATACACCACCATTGAGAACCTGCAAGCACTGGATAGCTGAGTTGACCTAGTATGGGACTCTTCAGCAATGAGCATCCACAATCCCACACACAAGGTTTGAACCCACGACATCCGATACCACGCGCGAACGCTTAATCTCTAAACCACTGAGCTCTCAAATGCTTTGGTACTGTTGAGAGTGGGGAGAATCCACTCTCCCTTACGAAATGCTCTCACGTGGTAATGCGTGTACGACCACTAACGGGAAGTCCTACTTACTGCCTGCTTGCGGTGTTGCTGTTGTTTACGAAATTGAGAGGACGAAAAGCGAATGTCCAGCGCCTTAACCTGGTTGGTGGATATGGAGGATCCATCTGGGGGAGTTGGAAGACCATGATTCCAAACTAATGTTGCACATGGGCTCCAGGATCCTGAAGAAACAAGTGGCGTATAAACTAATCGTTGGTCACCGGCTACCACGAGGCTGCAACTCCTGACGTTGCTCCACTACCTTGTGGGTCAGAACTTTAGGTTGTAGGCTCCGCGTGCGGCCCTCTAAGAAAACCACCTGCTTCGGTCTGATACCCAGAAAGTATCCAAACGCTTGAACAAATCAATGGTAACTGCTACTGGCCTCACTGCTATTGTGTGGCGCATATATATTTGATGCTCTTTTGTACCAATGTCTATTCGTTAAAATAAATAAATAAATAGACCACTGAGCCGGCATCCAACGGTGTTAATGTATAATTTCAACCAATCCACAATATTGTGCGACCACCCTCCATTGTCTTTGATGAGTAATTGCCTCACATCTGACACAGTTTAAATCCACTGGTCACGGCTTCTCACTAGAACTCCAAGAATTACCTCTGGAAGCTAGTCATTAGTGACCAAATGATGATTATCAGTATAGGGTTGTAGAAATTGTTCAATTTTTATTGAGGTTCAGTGCTTCAGGCTTTTTAGTGGTGATCTGCATTGATCAGTTCATGATCTTAATCAAAACTCAACAATCAGCACAACCCTATACTGACAAGTAACGATTAATTAAGTAAAAAGAGAATAACAAAATGCAAACAATAATACTGATAATAATAATAAGAGTTCATAAAAGTAACAAATATTTGAAGTTTATTCAAGTACCATTCTGAACTGATCCATCACAAATGATACAGTTGTCAGTATTCTAGATTATTATTATTTTCGTCTTACATCATCTATATATTATACTTGTGAATTAACGTAAACATTACGAAGTAATATAAATGAATTATTTCAAGAAATTGAATACATTTCAACATAAAATGAGTCTCTAATGACAGGTTTCACATATGATGGTATATGGTAAGATAATTAGTTATTCAGTGGGAGGTATTTTTTGAATAATTATCTCTCACAGAATCATCTTGTTATCAATTCAATTTTGTAGAACTTTTTGTAATATGATTTAATCTCATGACTACAACCAACTATGAATGTAGTTTACATTGGAATTGAAAGTTCAGGACTTTCGACCACAGTCGAATAAAAAAGAAAATAATAAATATAATCTTTAATACAATTTATGAACATAAGCAACTATCGAACATCCCTAATATGACTGACTTTCTGTACGTTTTTTGCACTTTAAAAGGTCTATTTTAAAGCTAGCAACTAATATGCTTCGGTTTGGGCACCCGGACAGTATTACAACCCACACACAAATCAAGGGACTTGTGTGGCGCATATGTATTAAGTGCCCCTTTGTACCAATATTTATGTTTTCAAATAATAATAATACGCCTATAGATTATTAAGTGATTTTGTGAACATTAATATTATTTATGACTCTATGTAGGGAGATGAGGTCGTGACTAAATTTTTCTGATGAGTAACATACCAAAATCAAGACAGACATTATTTAATAATCACTAGGTTTATGCACAATAAGAATCACAAAGAAAAATTAACATTCACATATTATCAAATGGAATGAATAATTAATTATTCATAGATCAACTGTATACAATATACTCATGAAACGAAAAGTCGACGTTATTTACAAATCAAGCAATGCATAATGGTAGTGCTGTTTGTAATAGTCAATCAAGATAAACACATATATATATATATATATATATATATATATATATATATATATATATATATACAAACACGCTGTTTTTATGTCTAATTAGAGTTGTTGTCAGTGTATTTTTGTTTCGAGTTGAAAATCATGCTGTTAAAATTCATTATTGTCAAGGTAACATCAAATTTAATTAGGATTAAATTTAGACAAATAAATACGAATGTATTTTTTAATTAAATCTTAATGTTAATTATACTCATATATATCGTACCATAAAAATGGATTCGATAGAATTTTGACTATTTTAAAAAATATAACTGACAGAACAAACTATCCATAATTGATATGTTATTGTCACTTCTTGCCACTTATCTAAATATTTGGTTACTATCCTGAAGAGAAAACGAAAAGACCAAGCAACACATTGAGTTGGGAATTGGAAGCAGATATCAAAAGAATGAATAGCAACCGGTAACAAGTGGAAAGGATTGCCAAGGATAGAGTTTTAATGAGTATTTATGGTGGGAAGCCTATGCTTATTCACGATGGGTAGCAGGAGTAAGTAAGTAATTAATGAGAGGTTAACGAAGACTGTCCAGTACGATGATCGATTCCGTAAGGGAACAATATTAGTTAAGGAACACTAAATATCTAATACAGACGTCTTCAACAGTATGAGCAATCACGACACCGAAATACATTGAATTTAGGATATTTTGAGTCTTATGACATCATCTTGAATTCGTTAGTTCGCCCTAAAAATTGAAACATTATGTAAAGTATCGTGAATAAAAATAATACTTTTCAATGTATATAGCAATAATTGAAGCAAAAATCAGAACTGGTTACTTACCTATCAGCATTTCATACATAATAACACCAAGTGACCACCAATCACAAGAATTTGTATAACCATGATGCTGAAATACTTCAGGTGCAATATAATCCGGTGTTCCAACAGTAGAATAAGCCTATAGTTAAATAACAGAGCAAGAAAAAACAGATAACAGATGGTACAACTATAGTTCACGTAAGAAAAAACACTCTGGACTAATTTTTCTTAAAATTGAGTGGCTTTAGTCCAGTAATTCACATTACTTATCCACACCATATATAACAACAACCACTGTTACGTTTTCTACTGAGCTACGACAGAATATGACACAGAAACAGCAGCACTCGAACATATAGAACCTTAAAGTTGCAAATCAAAAGACGCAAAAAATACGGGAGATGATTTTTGGGTAAGAATAAAAAATGTACGGAAAAACATGGGTATATATAGTCATTAGTATTGACTACACCATCGCTATAATTAAGCCAATCCGCAAGGAGGCAAATTATGAAACTGTCCAATCGTAGGTCTAAAATGTATTTATCTTTTGAAGAAACTAGTAACATATCTCAGTTTAACATAAAGTATGAAACCAACATTTTTGTTGAAAACTATTCAACATACAAATTATTACACTATAATAATATTGAGTAAATAGTATTTGTTATTTCTTGTTTTCGGGGTTCAGTACGGCCTACGATGTTACGGATTTAGGAACGAAAATGATTGAACTTCTGTAATACAATCGCTTCTCTTCGGAACTGACAACAGTCAATTATACCCAACACACTAAACTTTGACGGTTGGGACAAGAAGGCGCAATTTCAGGAAACATGATACTTGTGGTAGAACAAGTAACTCAGATGAAATCGGTACAAAATTTGTTACTATAGTAGGAGGATATCACCTTCGAACACGTACCAATTTAGTGAACTAAAAAAAAAACATGACAACCAATCAGAAGGCAAAAGCCATGCAAAAAATCAAGTTGGTAAAAAGTATGTGAGGGGTTATCATTCCAGAAGAGATCCTAACCCTTCTAATAAAATCCACTTATTCTTGCTACTGCCTTAGCAGTATTTGAACAATGTAATTAATAAATTAACAACGTTGGAAATAATAAATATATGTATATGAAACGCTTAATGTGTAAACTTTTTTTGAATTAAAACACATACATGGTTCAGTATTCATCAATATTTACATACACCTCACTGACGAGTGTCAACTATATATATATATATATATATATATATATATATATAATTCGATTCATAATAATACACAATTGTGATAATAAGAATTTGTTTTCTATCAACAATGTTACTGTCGATTACATAACCCATGAATTAAAGAAAATAATGTTGAAATCAGTTTTACCACGATCATCAAGAAAGTAAACAGAGATTAATAGTAATGGTATTAATCTTTTTATATAGAATGAAATCTGACTAAAATTGTTCCTGAATATGCACATATACAGTTATGGTACACATTAACGTTTTTCGTGTACATGAATAAATATTAACATGACACAATAGAAGTATATGATGTGATTATGGAACCTTGTTATCAAATAGCTGAATGTCATAATGACTAAGCATATAAATAAGACAGATTTTAACTACTATCCAGAAATCAGTTTTAAAAATATAAATGACCGAAAAACTAAACAAAAATTATTTAAATTTTGCACAAAGAAAGGGTACACTAACTTCTTTCTATTTGAATAAATAGGAAAAAATCAAACGAAAAATTCATTGCACTAACTAAATATTTACAGAACAAAAAGATGAATTTGTTCAAATCCCAACAGACTATCCGGGTCGATTACATCACCATACACAATCATAGTCTGAATTTATACACAAAATTATAGTACTATTATTTAATAATGAAAAAAGTGTTAGATCGAATAACTCTTAAAATATAAACCCTAAAGGTAAATAAATAACAAAATTACCGTTGAATAGAATATACGTCAATAGTTTATCTGGTTACATATTAAAATTAATATTACTGTATGTATGGAACAGTGTACACAATAAACCATACACTTGAATTATTTATGAACAACAGTTAGGATATACACAGAAAGTTTACAGTACAGGATTTATATATATCACAAGATAATTGAAAAACTAACACTTTTACACCAACTGACCACAATTGTTTATGATACGAGTAATTGACATATCATTTTATTAATATTTTCATTACTCTTGATAAAAATGAAATATGTCTAGCATATTTTGAGTGGAGCAGTGACTTAATGGTCTGAATCCCGCACCAAGCTGTTCTACTTTGGAAAACCGAGTAGTACCGTAGTAAACGAAGACTTGATGGAGATAACCAATTTAATGTTTCGTGCAAAATTACAGTGCTTTCTTAAAATATTAAAAACCATACATTAAATACATTATTTGCACACCTTCCTTCAGATGTCCTTTACATGATCCACGATGCTTTTAATTTTGTTTTTATTTCAATTGCTCTATGTTTCCATTTCTTTTCTCGTCAATACAATCTTCTGCTGGCATGTATTCCACTTCGGATCAGTGTTACACACTACTCACATCTGTCAACATAGGTAGCATACGCCACAGTAATATTAGCGTTCATATATAAAGTAGGGATCGATAACACGTACACGAACCTGTAACTGATCGTTAGTAAACAATAATAATGTCATATTTTAATGTGGTTATTGTCAATAGCCTAAAATTAAACACTAGAAAATCGAGAAAAAAAAGGACTGTTAAACTTCAACAAATAACTATCAGACACTTTTAATTAAACGCAACCAACACTTGCAGAGAACTCAAGAAATAAGACAGTCTAAAATTGTGGACTTTAAGTCTATCAGTAGTAAAACAGTATATTTTTAGCAATGGTCTTATGACAAAAATTCATAAAAACTATTCAATACGATATCAGACAGTGGTGGATGTATCGCTCAATTTCGTGGATTAGTTGAAGTTAGACATTAAAACCGTTGGATGCCGGCTCAGTGGTTAAGTGCTAGTGCGCGAGACCAGTAGGTCCTGGGTTCGAATCTCGCAGGGGGCGAGGTCGTGGATGCGCACTGCAGAGGAGTCCCACAATAGGACGAGATGGCCATCCAGTGCTTCCAGGTTTTCCATGGTGGTCTAGCTTCAACTGACTCATGATCTTAACCATTGATATTCAATGTAAATTATTTTATTAATGAACATCGCTGATACTATTCCAACCACTTAAGTGTATGCATACACATATAGCATTAGGCAAATGATGTGATTATGTATTCTAGAACTATGTTATCATAAGTTGACACATTCTCTTAAAATCTAAATATAACTGTGATCACGTTATCTAAAATTAAAAAAAAATTTTAAAAAGTTTTTGTTCAGCTGTCATTTTTGATTTCAAGGTTAACAAACACATAACCTTACAATTTGTGCAAGGAGATGAAATTCGTCACATATGAAATTATTTAAATAGTCAATGAAAATATGGGAATGTTGTAATAGTTGCCTACAGTGTAATGAATGATAAAACAAGTCAATAGTATATTGATTATGAATATATAATGCTAATTTTTTTTCAAACAAATTGACTAAATGACGTAGAAAAAAAAACAGTTCCGGATTATTTAAGAACTGACAGTTCTTAATGGTGAGCGGGTGTTGTCAGACTGACAATTTACTGTTGCATGAAAGTTAGTTGATGTTACATTCTGAAAGTTTTGATGAAACAACAGACAACTTTATTCACAAGTAATTGATCATATAGAGAAAGTAGTTTTGCATGAATGATCAAATAAAACTTTAGCCGAATATGTAATTTATCCCATTGTATGTATGTGCATTTTATTAAATGAATCATCCAATCCTAGGTGATGGTTCTTTTGTATCTAAATGATTTGTGTATTTATAAATAAAATAATATATTTGTAATATCCCAATGATTAGAAAAATTAGATTTTTTGACTACTAAATAATAACTCGAATGAAATACCATGGATTGGTACTGCAGTTTTACCATACCGTCGTGGTACAAGAGAACTCAAAAGAACTTTAAAACAAAACAGAATTAAAGTATATTACAAAACAACGAACACACTTCGAAATACTTTACGTCGCTTAAAAAATAAACTCCCCTTTATGTGAACACAGAACTGTAAGTACAAATTAGGTGTCGATCATGATGCTTTATACATTGGAGAGTCATCTTGACTCCAGCCAAAGAATATAATAGGTACACAAAAAAAACCACCTAATAATCCGGTAGAACTGGATAGACTTCAAATTAAATTGGCAATAGCAGTTCATGCTATTTTCAACAACCACTAAATCGATTTCAAAAACATCAAAATATTAGAAAAAGGTTTTTCAAACTACATACAAAGGAGAGTAGCTGAATCTTTCCATATAAAGCTTAATCCAACTGCTCTCAATAGAAAAGAAGACCTCTTCATACATCCGACTTGGACTATTTGTCCAATCTACTACGTCTGATATTATTCACATTTCATAGTATTATCGTAAATGCAAATTAAACCACAAAGGTCACATTTTTTATCCCTGACCTTGCACACATGCACACATGAATTTACATACATGTTGCGTATAAATCACCTTGACCGAAATGACATGATATTAACTTATCCAGACCTGTTTTTTGGTTGATCGCATATAATATTCTTGTATTGTACCTTTGTACTATTTAAACTTGGATTAATTTTGATTTGGGTATTTATTCTCTGAAGTGGCTTCCATCAAGTTATGAAATATCAGAAAATTTAATTTTCCTACTCATTAGGATACTACAAATATATTACTTTACTTATAACAGTCTACCCAATGCTCAATTTATTCGAAATTATCAAGTCAAAACTTGGTAATAATACCCACGATTTGTATATTTATCTTGTATTGACTAGTCTGTTGAAAATCAATTCATTTGTGTAACATTCCTAGAAATTGTCTGGAAGATTGCTCTGTGTCTAGACTTCTTAATACACTTATTTAAATAGAGAAAATGATCTATGAACTAGTTGCCAACATAACTTTTTCAATTATTTCTTCGGTATTATTAAAAACAGAGGACCTGGAAAACAAGTAACACTTTTTAAAAGTGTTATCAGGTTGTTTA